GGCTCTGCGGGCTTCGCTTCTCGGTACCGACCTCCCCAAGCCTGGCCGCCGCTCCTGTTTACTGGTTTGGATTTATTATTTGGGGGGGTGGGGGGAGAGAAGGGAAGGAAGCGGTGGGTGAAGCTGTACAGGTCTTGTTGGATTTCCGTAGTCATCTTTCCTGGATAGTTTCAGGGTTTGTCGTCTTCTGGGCTCTTTCATGTGTGTAATATTGACCACGTTCATGAAGGCTTCGTAGAAGGAGCAGGATGGATGGGGGAAGGAGTGATACCTAGCTGTAGTGCAGATCTGATTATCGCGGCATTTGAGTAGAAGCCTCTGCTAATGGGCCCGAAGGACAGGGGATCTGTCGCTCTGCATTATTTGGAAATGCACTTACCCTGTTCCTTTGCGCCTGAAAAAGGCTGTAACGTCTGTGGTGGTTTCGCTGCAGTGTGTTGCCAAGTTGCCGATGCTGCTATTGCAAATGTTCTCCAGAGACAGAGGAAAAGTTCCTGATTTTTTTTATTTGCTTGTGCGTGGTACAATAATTGCAGTTTGTGTCTGCACACTTCAGAAAATGATGCAGTGAATTAATCCACCAGCTGTACCAAGAGGAATAAAAGCTGATTTGAATATCAATACCAATTTTTATCTTTACAATGCACCCATGGCCTAGCTTGATATGGATGAGCTGGTTTGTGGATTCTCCTCCTTGTTTTATCTAGTATTGCAGGCGTTTCTGCCACTTCTGCAAGTTGTTCATGAAGGACATGGAAAAGAGCAGAGCTGTTACCAGTTAGATTTTATTCACTGTGAAATACTGAGGGTTGTGGGGTATGCCTGTAACTTCAGTGTTCAGTGAAGTAAAAGGAGTATATCAGAAGTTTGCTATGCATTTATGAGGTCCTAAAATAACTCTGCTTTAAACTGAAGGTTTTGAAATGGAAAAGCTAGCATTTGTGTGGCTTACGTTGGGTATGTTTACAATGGAAATAAGAGTAGGTGGCACTTTTATGTTCTCAACTCTGATTAATTGCAGCCTGAGAAGTGTAATGGAGTTATTGCTTTTTCAATTATCAAATTAGTCTTGGTTAACCAAAAAGCTAAATGTGCCAATAGCTTCATGTTAAGAAAGAATCCTATGGTTGAGGGGTTTTTTGCTTTGTTTGGTGGGATGTTTTTTGGTTTTTGTCTATTTTGGGGGCTGTTTTTTTCTCTTTGGGGGAAGCAGGGGGCAAGAGATTGGTTCTGTGGAACTTGGGTTGATTTTTTCTTAATGTGCTGAGAGAGGTTGCGCTGTCATGTGGGGCCTGTTGGATTGAAATTGAAGTGATTCTCAGAAAAGCAGGTCTAGTAATTTGTAATAGTTTTAATGACAAGTCTGGCTTTGTTGCCAAACTTCCTAGAAACATCTCGGATTTTAATAGTTCATTGCCTTTGTTAGAGCTGAAAATAAGATTACTCAGAGAATGAGGTAGATGAAAAAATTAAATGCTGAGTTGATACAGTCTTTGTACAGAAGAAATGTAATATTCAAATTAAGTTTCAGTAAGTATGACTGTCACTTGATGATCAAGGATGAATGAGTAATTATGACTAAAAAAATCTTTTATAATCAGTTCATGGTAAGACAGCTGATTTTCTCAGTCTGTTGTTAAAATGCTTTGTAGTTCCTTTCTTAATTGTGATTAACACTGAATCCTGTTCCCTAACCTACGATATTGATTCTGTTTATTTTTGTTCTGCTGCTTGACCCATCATTACTGCAATGCTCTGACTTGTTAGACTGTACGCCATGGTTTCCCCTATCAACCTTCAGCCTTGGCATTTGATCCTGTTCAGAAAATACTGGCCATCGGGACTCAGACTGGAGCACTACGGCTGTATCCTTTTATATTCTGAAATGCATTTAGTGCACCTCGTGCAAGTAATGTTTTGATTCAGCTGCTGGAACCATTCAGAAGTCTGGTGGGAACCAGGTATGCAGGGGGGGAGAAAAAAGCTCTGTTTTCTGTTGGTGGGTGTCCTGGCTGTTCTGGTTGTTCTGTGTGTCAGTTCAAGTTGTATTAACGATGTGAGGTATGGCTGCTCAGTCCCTATTATCTCGAGTTAATGTATACATTTTGCAGAGGGTTACTAGTGTGCTGACAGGTCACAGCAGCTGACTGCAAATCTAAAGAGACCTGGGCTGAGCTCTGTTTTGTTGTTCTGCTGTTTTGGACGGATTGAAAAATTCTGTGCTGCTTGGTGAGGTTTTTTTGGGTTGGTGGTTTTTATTTTTTTGGTCTTGTTCTTGAGATAAGCTTTGTAATACTGTAGTTACCTGCTACTGCTTCTGTCTTGCCAAAAGATGGTTTCAAGTGGGGACACTAAAGGGTACAGGAATTGTACTCACTAACAGTTTCCAAGTGACTGAGATGAGCAGAATGAATTTGTGGAATAAAGCACCAGTAACCCTGATTCTTTTTTGTTCACTAAAAAGTGAATTATCCATATGTTTGTAGCCATATGGTACTATCTAAGCCATGTAATAACACGTGTTTAAATTTTTGTTTTTAAAAGAAGATGCCTTGTAGATTCTTTAATCCACACTGCCATTGCCTGAACCTTACTTTTCAGCAGAAGAGAATTAATTGAATTCTCTGTTGTCCTGAAATTGACTGACCTCTGACCTTTTTGCGGAAGGCTTAGGCCATCTTCCTAGAAAAATTGAGTTAATCCTCTTTAAACTGTAGGTGAATCTCATCTTTTCCTTTGCTGCTTGTATTAGTCTGCAAGTAGACCTTTTTTGTTTCCTTCTGTAACATCACTACTCTGTCTATAAGGTTAATTGCCATAAGAGGGTTGTCTTTTACAAGTTGAAAAATTAGAACTTCAGTATCAAATCCGAGGCTTAAAGAAGAACCTGAAGTGAAGTAGCTTGTATGGTATCTGTAATGATATCTATTATGAACTCCCAGGATCTCTTAATTCAAAGTATGAGTAACAGTAATGACCATGCAGTGTTCTTAATGCCATGTTTGAAACTACCCTTAACTCCATAAATTTTGGTTTTAAAAAGGTGATAAAGTTGACTTAAATGAAGAATGAAGGGTGGTGAGTGGAGCTGTTAATTACTCTCATATTGGTAGAATAGATGAGAACACAAAAAGAGGCCTAAAAGTAAGGACTGGGGTTGGAGGAAAAGGAGAGACCAAAATGCACCTGTTTAGAGCTCACCTGTAATTTTGGGCAACATGATGTTGCAGTTTGGGTAATGATGATTTGATAAAACCTGTTTACTGGCACTCATCCTTGACTACACCTGTGAATTCTCAGTGTGAATTGCTTTCTAGATAATTGAGAGAAGTATTGCAAGATTGTGAGGGAAGAAACAGTTACTGTGAGAGGAAGCAGTAATATTGACAGAAAATGCATTTCCTAAGGGAAGGGAAGAAGTTTCATGCAGAGGCTGAAACATTGGTGCTCCCCTCACTTGATGAAGGTGAATATGCTTCTCATACCTTGATACAGACCTTGATTCTTGGGAGAACTGGTTAAAAGCCCTCAACCTCAGCTGGTAGAATAGCCCTGAAATCAACACCACCACAGAAGTTGCATGTCCTGTAATTACTTGCTCTTTGGGATGGAGGAGCGCAGGCAGAAGGAATAGACTCAGACGCATTCCCAATGTAAAACCAGGCTTTCGTTTTCTGCCTAGTGAAACCGGTTCGAAAAGTATTCTTTGGGAAGGAGTGAAAGTGTTTTTTGGGAAGGAGTGAAACTTGCAAGAAGTGCTTATTTCATTCCATTGCTCAAGGAAAAAAACAACCAAAAAGTGCTTGTTGACCTACAGGATGCTTTACCTGCTACGGTTTTTAGGAACAATAAATTATATGCAAGGGTTCATTAAAGTGGGAGCCACTTACTCTTTAGAGCTGCAGAAGTGTTTTTAATTGAAGCAAGGTGTGGACTAGAAAGACTGAGAGTCAGTAAAGAGGTATTCATTGAGAAGTAAATCCTAAAAGTGGGAGAAAAGTCAATCCTCATTTTCTTCCACATTCATGTTGTGAGAGTATAGAAGTAGAGGGATGATAATGCTTCTTTCGTTGCCTACCAGCAGATGGGAGCTGGGTATTAGTGTTTTCCTTGCATCTTCAAGTATAGGTGCATCTTGTCAAGCTTTCACTTCCTTCCTATTGCAAGTAAGTGATCTGAGGAATTGTGAAGAAAGTTTTTTTAGAAAGGGTATTAAGGATAAAATATTCTTAAATCAAGGAATGAGCTAACCTGTTTTAGATTTCATTAATATGTGAAGAAATTAATATTGCAGTCCTGATTGACTTTGGGGCATTTAACAGCTAACCCCTTTATAGAACATGTTCTCTGTATTTGAGCAGTCTGCAATTCGGGTATTTTAACTTCAAAATCAGTATTGATTAGAACCGATTAATGTGAGCAGGAATTTTCTTAACCACACTCCTATCTCATTCTTCTTTACGAGGACTCTGTAACCACTAGTGGAGGAACAGACAGAATTTTAATACACAAATACTAAATATTGTCTCTAGTATTGATATAGTGACATGTAAAAATAGAACTAAAGCTTTTTCTGAAGAACCAAAATCTGTGGATACAAATATACTGGGAGTTCACTGGCTTAGTATATTTACCAATTAGATAAATACAGACAAAGTAACATCAACACTGTATTGAATTCTCTGAATCCACAAAGTAATTGTGAAAATGGAAATACCTAAACTATAGGTGGCATGTTTCACTAATTGGATTAGAAGTAGAATTACTACTCTTAATATTATTTGTCCCCAGTCCTAGGCTTGATGGGTTAAAATTGGAGGAGAGTGTTGTGGAGTTGGTGACTTAGTGTGCCAGAGGCAGGACTTTGCCATTCTGTGCCCATAAGCAGCAGCTGGTTCTAGATCTTGCAGTTTTAAGAGGGAGAGAAGTCCTTAAAAATATTAGGAGGAGACTGCTTTTAGTGTAAAACTTAAACCTTATGAGTCACCAAAGTTAGTTTGGGATTACTCACTAGCTTAACTTGAGTGGTGTATCCCCTTTTTAAAAAAAAAACAACTTTATTTCCAGAGTTACTTAGAAATATTTCTAAGTCTGATTTAGCTAGGAGACTTCATTAAAAGCAAGTGTCTGAGGCAGACTGGTATTGCTCAGGTATTATCGTTGATTAGAGAAGTATTTTGTGCCTTCCATAGAAAGGAACATTTTGAGCAATTAATAAAAAAGGCTTTGTTCTTCTGTTTTCAGCTATGGACAAAAACTTGGTTCCTTTACTGTGCGTGAGGGAAAGTTACAAAGTGTATAGCTTAGTAGAATACAAACCTTGGAGAGAGGTCAGATGCTGGACCCACTACTCTTGACTATAGAACAGCCAGCTGATGTGACCCTCTTCCTGACATGAAGATCTGTTGAAAATAGTTAAGCCGTTTGATTCTGTTTTCTGTATTGCGGGGGAAATTGAGTGATGAGGTAGGCACAAGAGCAGAAGCACAGCGCTGAGTGACTTAAAATCTTAAATTTATCTTGCATACACCCACACTCATCTACTCTCGCTGATCCAGTTGTTCCTCTGAGTTCATGGTGCTGATCAGAGGACACTCATTCCAGCTGGTTGGGGTGTTTGAGTCTTGACTGGTGGTCTGGCTCTTATGTGTGGCAATTCTGCCTCAGGCTCACCCTTCTGCACAGTGCTGGATGTTTGTGGATGTGTTCCCCACAAGGAGCAGTTGTGCTCGTTATTGATTTCAAACTGCAATGGTCAGTGTAAGCTGCTGGTGGCCTCATTTGTCACTGCAGGCCAAGCTCTCTGACTTTCTCCATGCTTAAAGGGATTTAGCTGTTGTTACCAGGGTGGCTTTCACCTTTTGATCTCCTGTCCCAAATGTGTTAGACAGATATCAAGTAGTTAAAAGTTCATCTATGCTTTGCTTCTTTCCTGTGCATACCTGGACCATTACAGCAGGACACGTAGTCCATAGTTTTTAGGAAGTTTTGTGCATAATTGTCTGTGCTTTGTTTTCCCAGCAGATGTAAAACCCTTCTAATGAGCTAGAGTTGAGTATATGTACTCAAGGTTTAACTTGCCTGAATGGTGTAATTGGGTAGACTTCACCCTGTGACATCCTGGCAGCATTCAGTATCGTAAGTAATAGTCCTGCTTCCATGCTGTTCATTGTTTTCAGTCTTCTGCTTAGAAGTCAAATGTGATCTGAACAGGGTAGTATTTAAACTGTAAGGATGTTTGAGAAAGGTGAAATAGACTTTTTCAGGATTTATCTGTCTTTAGGATGATGCTTCCTCAGAACTTTAAATTACTAATTGTACAGGGCTGTGGACTTAAGTCAGCTGAGCTTTTTTGTTTGCTTTTATAGGAGGTAGAATAAGCTTTGAAGCTAAAGCAGAAAATTTGAAGGAAATCTTCTGCTCCCTGCTGTTTAACTGCTCCATCTTAAACAAGCTTCTTCAGTTTTCTGTGCTTTAATTTCTCAATAGCAAAACTAGGACAGTATATCAAATGAGATGTATTTTGATTGTCTGCCAGCATGAATGCAATATCTTTATTGGTGCTTAATGCCTTAAAAATACTCATTTGCAGCTTGGAGCTCAGTCTCTCTCTTGGTAGAGAGAATTCTAAAAAGGAAGGCCATTTCCACTAGGAATTCTTGAGAATAAAGGGGATACCTGTAGAATAAGTGTTGTGCGTTCCACACAGACCAAATTATGCCTAGGACTCTTTAGTCTGAAGCAGAATAGGTTCTTTAATTAAAGTTTGGGGGTTTTTTTCTGTTGCAAACGCAGTTCACAGGAAGGAGAAAAATTAGATTGTTCGTCATTCTGTCATTATATATCTGAAGATCCCAATCATTCT